GGCCCCCACAGTTTTAATAAATGTGTTTGTGGGGGAACTATGTAGATTTTGTGCAAATGCCCCCCATAGTTTCAGAAATGCATCAGACGAGGACGTAAACCGTGACGCCATCTGAAGGGTCAACTCGGTGAAGAAGAAGAAAAAGAAAAAGAAAAAGAAGAGATAAAGAAAAGAAGAAGGGGGTGGTGAAGAAAAAATAAAGGAAAGAAAAAGAAGAAGAGATAATGAACTCTAAAGGGTCTTTGTAAAGAAAGAAATCAAGCTTTTGTCTTTGAAACATGAACATGTTTTCCAATTCATGACTCAAATTTCCACCACCAACCTTAACACTTTACATCAACAAAGTATCAGAAATCTAAACATACCAAAAATAAATAAAAACAAGAAATTTCGTAAAATAGTTTGCTTTCATATTGAACAATGGAACCGCTGAAGGAAGATGAAGAAGTGTACCGCTAGAGAGAGAGATGAAGTTACCGCGTTTAAAACCAAAGGTGCCAGTAGCAGAGCTCGAGAGAGAAGGAGAGGCAGAGGCCTTACTAACCGGAGATCAAGGAGCCCAACTGTGGTAATTCTACCACCATGCTTTTTGTGGGGGAGATCAACTTTTGTAGGCACAGGAAGTAGCACTACTGGGGGCACATCGTCGGCAGCAATTGGCTCAGGAAGTTGCATTTTTGGCAGTATGCCTACGCCATCGCCCAGCACTGGATGTAGCATTTTTGGCAGTACGCCATCGGCAAGTACTGGAAGTGGCATTTTTGGCAGTATGCCTACTCCGTCGGCAAGCACTGGATGCAGCATTTTTGGCAGTACGCCATCGGCAAGCACTGGAAGTAGCATTTTTGGCAGTACGCCTATGCCATCGGCAAGCACTCGATGTAGCATTTTTGGCAGTATGCCTACGCCATCGGCAAGCACTAGAAGTAGCATTTTTGGCAGTATGCCTACGCCATCGGCAAGCACTGGATGTAGCATTTTTGGCAGTACGCTATCGGCAAGCACTGGTAGTACCATTTTTGGTGCTGTAACTCCACCTATTGCTAGCACAAGAAGTAGTATTCTTGGCGGTACATCTTCTGCAATCCCAAGCACTGGAAGTAGCATCTCTGGATTCAGTGTCGGAGCTACTTCTTCAGCTTCTACCAACCAGGCTCAAGTTTCTAACCCTTTTAGTGTTGGAAGTGCTCAGGCATCTGTTAATGCAACTGTTCTTGCAACTTCAACTCAGAGCACGCCTAATCAGTTTGGATCAATTTCGTCATCTACGTCATTTGGGTTGGCTGTTAATCCCGCCTTTTCCTCTGGCAGTTCTTTATATGGCTCCTCAACTTATGTGGCTAAACCTTTTGATTGCACTTCTTCATCAGAGGCCAACTCAATCAGCTCCACCAGTGGCTCTACTAACGATGTCTTTGGTTCCAGTTGGCAGGCCCCTAAGACTCCCTCATTTGCTTCAACATTCAACTCTTCGTCTCCCTCAACTAGGTTTCTGTTTGGAACAACATCTTCGTCTGCTGCTACTATCAGTGCTCCTTTGTTTGGGTCATCCACGAATATCACATCAAGTGCCATTTTTCCGTTTCCTTCAGCTGCAGCAGCCACCTCATCACAACCTGCCTTTGGTAATGCGGGTTCTGTGTTTGCATTTGGTTCTACTCCCTCAAATAATAATAATGATCAAGTTGGTATGGAAGACAGCATGGCTGAGGACACTGTTCAGGCATCCACACCTGCAGTTTCTGTGTTTGGTCAACAGCCCATGACACCTTCGACTGGCTTTGTCTTTCAGGCTTCTGGTAGTTTAGACTTCAATGCTGGAGGTGGCTTCAAATTGGGCAGCGGCAGTGTTGACAAGTCTCGAAGAAAAATCATGAAACTCAAGGGCAGGCACAGGAAGAAGTAAGTGTTAGAGATATATCAGCTACAGAGGATTCTGCAGTTATAACTGATCAACAATGTTTGAATTCTAAACATGAGAAGATCTCGGAAGTTGATAATGCAGCATCATAACAAGCTATTATTTAAATATATTATAGCTGTGTTCTTATCTTCTCAGTAACCACTTTGTAAATTCAAATAATGTATTACCTCTATAAATATAATGCAATACACGACTGGTAATTTTAAGAAAACCAGCCTTCAATTTCTACTTCTGACTTGGTATCAGAGCATTCATTAGCTCACTCTTTTCTCCCTTCGATCCGTTATGGCCTCAGCTTCCAATAATCCGTCTTTTATCATTCCTAATATCACATCTTTGGTTTCTGTTAAACTTGAGGGACCAAACTATCTGAACTGGACTACTCAGTTTATTCCAGTTCTGAGAAGTCATGACCTCCTCAGCATTGTTGATGGCTCAGAGGTGTGTCCTGCTCAGTACCTCGTTGACTCAGATATCAACCCCACCTACCTGGTGTGGCAGAAGAAGGATCAATTCATCCTGGCATGGTTAAATGCTACCCTTAGTGAGAAGGTTTTGTCCATCGTTTATGGCCTCACTACTTCCAAACAAGTTTGGAATACACTGTCAACAAGATTTGCTTCTCAGTCTCGCTCCAGAATTTCTCAACTCAAAAGACAACTCCAAACTCTTCAACAAGGTACTAAGACCTGTTCTGATTACTTGCTTACAGCAAAAAGTTGGGCTGATCAACTATCTGCCGCTGGTAAGTCTGACTGGTAATTTGGTTTCCTTTTAGGAGGCCGTGGTTATTTCCAATGCTGAAAAAAAAAAAACTCAAGGACAAAGATTAACAGCATGAGCTTTGCTGTTGGGTTAGTCACCGGAATTGTTTGGTACTGGTAAATATAAGGCAGATGGCGCAGGGTTTTCAAATGCGTCGATCATGTCCTTCCTTCACAACTTTCTTCTGGGCAAAAATTTTACGGTTGCACAGTCAGTTATGAGTTGTCACAATTTTGTAACAATCTTGCTGGCATAATCCAAGAACATTTATGGTGTATTTTAGTTGATAGGGGTTTCAGGTTGGGCAGTTGTACCTTGGATCCTTTTCTGTACTCTGTCATATGTATCATAAAAGAAATGGATATGAATTTTGTCCTCTGTCCTCACTTGAATTTTAACTCTCTTCTTCGTTCCCAATTTTCCTTTTCTTTATTTCAGATTCTTGTATGGTTTTAATATTTTTTTCCCAGGCAATCAATTATATGGTAGAAATTGATGCTTTTTGTAAGTTTTTTGTAGAATCCTATTTATAATGTGTTTTGATGAGGTTTTATTGTACTAGTAATTTTATCAGATATGGGATCACAACATTAGTGTACCTCTTCCCTTGTGGCCGATGATAGATTCTTTAGTCAGTAGAGTTAGTTATACCCAGAAGGCCTTCTCTTGGAGTCACAGAAGAGAACTTTTGGATGCCTCGCTCTTCTGCGCTTTGATGAACAGCTAGCGCATGTAATTTCTCTATTACTTGTGTCTTTGTAAAGAAGAATCATGGAACCAACGGCAAGAATGCATTTTGACTGGGCCGCCCTGATCCACCATGTGCAGGCTAGCTGACACCATCCCTTTTGTTCATGCTGTCTCAAGTATGAAGCCGTACCTGTTTTCTCATTTGTGGTTTTTGATGAAAGATTGAATTTTGCTTGTCGTCTTTTGGTGGGTTTGTTTCAGTCATTGTGAATAACGACATTTGTTTATGAGGCCAGTTAGGGGCTTATGCAGTGCAGAGTCTTTCTCTGTAGGATGTTGAAGTTTTTCTCTGTTATAATTTAAATATTTTGTTTACTAGTTTGATTAGTGTGATATATTAAGAATGATTTAAAGCTGCTGAATATAATTAGCCTGAAATGCATAGTTAGGCAGAATTTGGTGCAGCGCTTTTTTTTTTTTTTTTTTTTTCCGTATTCGGGGGTGTCCGGACTAGCCTTAACTAGTCCTTCAGGACCCTAAAGTTCACAGCCAAATAAGTCTTTAGTAACTACCTCTTATTAGGGGATTCGAACTCAAGACCTATTAAGTAATATGCAAAAGAGTCTCAAACAAACTGTCAAGGTAGAGAGAGTTAATTTGGTGCATCTTAATGATCACTAATGGGTGTTGTATTGCATATATTAACCAAGCTTTAATATAAAATGATATAAAATCGACCGACTACAAGTATGGTGCTTTTGAATGAAAAAGAGCTCTGAGTGGGAATATTCTGCGAAGAAATTGGGGAAGATAAGATGTTGAAAGCACTCTAGGAAGCTTTTGTTCAAGTATCAAATGTGATTCATGTTTTATGCAAATAAAGAGTGAAACATCTGCATGCTGAGTTCATCTCCATATTGTGGCTGTTTTTAAATGGTAAAGGCTCGCTCTTTGTAAAGTAATGGAATCAAACTTTACTGTCAGAAAACTTGCTCATGCTTTCGAAGAGTAAACGACATTTTCCCACCCAAGGTTTGCCTTAATAACACTTTTCCAATAAAGATGTTTCAAAATACTACTCTCTCACCCAAAATTTATATTCCATTTATTATCCAGAATAAACTTTTCGATTTGACGGCCAACGGAGAGCAAACTTGATCTAGGTTATTGAAGTTTTTAAAAAGGGGATGCCAATAAGTCTTTTGATGGTGACAAGTTAGATTTTGGTGGTTAGAATTGGTCGGAATCTGACTTATGAGGGGTGGTTGCACGTTTCACAAATGACTCAATTGCTAGCGATTTACGGGGTAGGTGGGAGCAAAGTTTGAGGGGTTTGATAAGTAATGATCGAGGAAAAAAATGATGGTGGTTTAGGGTCGTAAAGATGTTAAACCGGGCAGTGATTGGTCAAAATATAAACTTTGGGTGAAAAAGTGTCATTTTCAAACTTTTTGGATTAAAAGGTTATTAAGGCAAAGGTGGGAGTGGGAAAAAGTCTTTTACTCTGCTTCGTAATACGTGACTCAAAATCGCACCACCAACCCTTCATCGATGGGCCCCGTTCGGCCCATCTGCATAACATTCCAATTTCCATCCCCAACCTTTTTGACTACGTGTAGAATTTCAACTTTGCAACCTGCTTTCTCGGCTGGCTGGCTGGCTGGCACAAGACTCTTCTTTCATACCACAGGAATGCCTTATATCAAGAGACCATCTGATTGAAGAATAAAAATAAGATTCTTTTTTTCTGAAATTTCGTAAAATAGTTTGCTTTCAAACTGAACAATGGAACCGGTGAAGGAAGATGAAGAAGTTTACAGCTGGAGAGAGATGGAGCTACCAGCTTTGAAACCAAAGGTGCCAGAAGCAGAGCTAGAGAGGGAGACAGGAGAGAGAAGGAGAGGCAGAGACATATTGATAGCCGTTGATCATGGTCCCAACAGTAAGCATGCTTTTGATTGGGCCCTCATTCACCTCTGCAGGCTTGCTGACACCATCCATCTTGTTCATGCAGTTTCAAGTATGAAACCGTGCTAGTTGTTTCATCAATTTGGCCGCGTAGTTTGTGGATTTTTGATGAAAGATTGAATTTTGTTTTGTGGGTTTGTTTCTGTAGGTGTGAATAACGAGATTGTTTATGAGGCCAGCCAGGGGCTCATGCAGAAGCTTGCTTTGGAGGCTGTTGAAGTTGCTATGGTCAGTCAGTAATTGATTTGCTTTTCTTTGATTTGCTTTTCTTTTCTAATAGTCTTTTGTGAACTTCATCTGTTGTTGTTTGAGAGATATTAGAAAAGAAAATCTGTTAGAATTAGTTTGATTTCTAAAATTAGTTGGAGTTTCAGTTTATGTTAGTTTAATGAAGTGGATCAACTGATGATATCCTTTATAGGTCATATTAAAAAAAATCAAATAGCAGTACTAGGCTTTATCCAAAATTACTTGATTTGAAGCCTGCATCAATGCTAACAATGAGCTGCTGAAAGTCTTCTGGGTCCTTGTTCTTAGCTTTATGTATATGTTACAATTCCATATTTGTAAAGTTTGCTTCTTCATTGATATAAAGTATAGTTACAGGATTATAATTCCCTCAATCATGCACTTCAATGTAGCATATGATTAGCTGAAAAATAACTTCACTTGATGTTAAACAACTTAGTAACATGAATGGACAAACTTTATACATAAATTGTTGTGTCACAAAATGAATGGAAAGAGTGAAAATAAAAATATGGTTTCAATAAATGAGACAGATGGATGTTGTAGTTTATATTTATACCTTCATATGATTGTTGTAGTATTATAACTTCAGGATCAATGAAAGGTGTTATGAGAAGAGTTAGCATTAAATTATTGTAATTGACATGGACCAGGTGATGACTGAGGCTCGGATTGTGCAAGGTGAAGCGGGCAAGGTAATTTGCAAGGAAGCTGAAAGGATAAAGCCTGCAGCTGTGGTTATGGGTACCAGAGGCAGAAGCTTAATGCAAAGGTTCTTTCTGTGTTAGTATGTTTTATTTTTACTGTGGTAATGCCTTATCTTACTGTGGTAATGCTTCTCTTGTATGTTGTTGGATTTTTGTGCAGTGTACTGCAGGGAAGTGTCAGTGAGTATTGCTTCCACAATTGTAAATCTGCCCCTGTCGTAATTGTTCCTGTGAAAAGGTACTACCATCGAAAAACTGAAATTTTCATTGAGTAATTCAAAGTTACATTGCTGGGGTTAGTTACACAGAGTTCATTATTGTTTGGATTGGCAGAAGCTGGTGATGAATCATTGTATGATGGAACTAGGAACACGTAGAAATTGCAAGTCATGAACGCGTGTAGTCTGAATATTTTGATTGGTCATATAGTTAGACAGACTGCAAAATGTGTATTATTTTGTAGTATGTGTGTGTCATGATTCTTTTGGCTTGATGGTATGTTAGTCTCCTCTGTTGGCATTGGCACTGATAAGATTGATGTTGTAATTTTTTTGAATGATCCTGACTCATGTGACTGAAATTAATGTCTGATTGCCTTGGTGCAAAATTTAAGAAATCATGACAGTAAGCGCTTTAGATCCTGGATCCTAGTCTTCAAAAGCATCAAGCATGGAAATGTTAGTCATTTTGTATTGTTTGATGCAGCTAGGCTGCATCCTGTAATCTCTATGCCACCTTAGCCCTATCAACAAACAACATCTCAGCTCTCTGGTTTTAGAGTATCATATTGAACTTGAATCAATCATTGTCGGTGGCATCTGCTTGTGGATAATTAGAGCGGTGAGAATCACAAGTTCATCAAAGTAAGTTACAAATGCAGAAATTCTTTGAACATCATCTATATATAAGCTCAAAATGAAATTTTCTTTTACTACATATTAGTTTATATGGTCTCTGTTTGATCAATCAGATCATCCCAGATTAGACATTAATTTTCAATTAAGTAGACCAATTGCTAACATAATGCAGATATCAACAAAATGGTTGATGGTGGAAATTCACCCACTCCATTAGCTACCTTTATGAAGAATTATTTGTCTTAGGGATATAAATCTTTTCATGGACATAAATGACTAATCTTTCATCCCCATGTTGCTACTGCACCTAGATAGGCCTGATACTAGGTCCATGGGATTAAGTTGGTCTGATAATTTACAAACAGTGTGTTGGGTGGCATGTTTGGGCCCTCTCTTTGCCAGCCTTTGCTCTGGCCACAACCACAAGAACAAAAAACCTTGAGCTGTATTGTTGGAAATTCCATTTAAAATTTGGATGAGAGAAAGAAAATCAACAACCCTATATTGTTGTTCTCATAGATAACACTGATGCTGTTTTTTTAACAGAAACCTTGCAGATATTGAGTCTGAGGGTTTCATAGGCTTTTATTTTAGGTTCTTGTGTGAAGGTAAAGACATAAGTTGAGAGCTTGCAGTTTGTCCAAATAAATGTTCAGTGTTGCAATAAAGTACACCAACACATAGTCAAGAGAACTTTGTAGGTTTTACTTTTTATCTTGGAATTGCACAAAGAGAAAAGGTGGTGGAGAGAGAAACCTCAAAAGATAGATGAAAAAAAAAAAATATATATAATTCAATATGTACATTTTTCACAGAAAGCTGAAATGGGCCCAAGAAAGAGAAAAGGCAATATCATGTTTCACTATCCACAGAAAACAAGAGAATCAAAGAGATCTTGCCTGTGGATGAGGCCAGGTCCACCTCTTTCACTGTTACTTATGGCTTGAAAAAGAGGAAAGTGAGGCTATTGTGACTCCAAAAAGAAGAATATACAATGTCATTAGTAGGCACACCTTTCTTGGTCCCCCACCCGCCGCAACCAACACCCAATGCTCCTCTTTATTCATTATTGTACCAAAGATTTTAGGATTGCGGGGTGTCTGTCAAAATTATTGCAGATTTGCATAAACTTTCATCTTTAAAGTCATTAAACCATTCCAATGCATTCAAGATTATCAACATTACTCATTAGGAGTTGTTTACTTTGTAATGTATATGGTATGTATTTGTTTATGGTCTTATAGTATTCCCCAACGGCACACATGTGATGAACACTCATGTGGAGTTCCACACCGACTAACACGCTCAAGCCTACAGGTTATAAGATGGGGTAATCCTCCCATTCAATAAGGTCTTATTGAATGAGTAATCAGACCCTACTTAAATTTTATCATGGTATCAGAGTTGGCTTAGTTGAGTGAGTGTTTGGCCAGCAAATAAAGAATTAGGTTAACAACTACCTTCATCACAGGCATGATCTAACATATGGCTTGACTGTGAGGGAGAGTGTTAGAGTCTCACACCGGTTAGACAAGCTCAAGCCTGCCTGGAGTCTATGCAGAACATTCTTGTTTGATCTTTTGTAGCTATGCCTGCCTGGAGTCTTATACCGAAAGAAGAAGGATCAGAATAAGTAAGAACATCTTCTGTGTAATATCTATAATGAATCTAATTTAATGAAATATGCAAGTGCCCATAAGGAGGGGATGTCCTTGCTCTTTCTTCTCTCTCTCTCTCAATCTCTTTCTGCATATAATTGATGCCCTATATCCTGTAAATATTTTTCTAATTATCAATGTCCCAATCAGAAATATTGATTCTATCCCAAAAGGTGGCTGAGACGGGCCACCATTGGCTCAGTCCTCTGTCCTCATAGGAGAGCTTCAAGTTTTCATCAGCTTCACCCAACAAAGGGACAACTTGTGCCAATGGCCATGGGGTTACCCTGATGCATACCCTTCGCATTAAATTAATATAATTTTGTGGAGTTTTAGCTCACCAATCACATTCCCTCTTCATATAATTTTTAATTCTTTGTCCTCAATCAAGATATGGGATCTCTCAATCACACAATGTCAATAATTATGCATATAGTAATCACTCAAAAAGGTAAATAAAATTTTAAAAAGAAAAAAAAATGCAGTTGTGAGATGTAAACTGAACAGTTCTCATTTTTCTTGCATTGTCTATCTCAACTTTCTTCCCCACCAATCTTTAAACTTTGGTCCCCTGCTACATCTCTCTTTTTTTTTTTTTTTTTTACGGGATGTCCAAGCCAGTTATTAATAACGTTGTTATTCGAACCTAAAACCAGGAGAGGCAAACCCCTTGGCCCCAAGCTTTTACCACTCGGCCAACCCATTGTTTGTTTCCTCTGGTCCATCTCTTCTCCTCAAGATTTTATTAATTCAACTTAAAAATCAAGATGGTGTGATCAGAATGCAATAAACAGATAAAGCTGAAGTTAATAGGTATAGTCTTATTCAATACTGTGTCTCAAGTATACATACAAATATTTATACGCTATGTACTTAGCCAACAAAAAAAGAATCTGGATCAATAGGCATCAAAAAACATAGTCATTGAAGGAATTGTATCAGACTCTTCTCTGTTTCACATCTCCATCTTTAAATTGCTAGCTTCAATGGAACCTGCAATATCAGTTTATGAACTTTCAGATACAATATTGTAATAAATGGGTTGATGGGAGTTTGTGGTTGTGGGCAGTGATCATCTTCTTTCTTTTTATTGAAAAATGTTTGATAATCTAAAGGATAAAAAATGGGGACCCAGTTTTGCTTTTATAGGTTGCAGTAGATGGCTATGGTGTCATATGGGGAGCCGAAATGCGTTACAACTTCAATTATGTCTTCTTTTGAAGAAAAAAACTGTCGTGGGAATACTGTGATCATGGGAAAAATCCATAGTTTTTAATCATTTTAGAATGAAAAGGATAGAAAGTTTGCATAGGACCCCAGTTTTTCCAAAGTGAAATCATTAACATTTGTGGGGCTCTATGAGGTCTCTATCACTGGTTGTTTAACCCACTTTGCTATTCATTTTCTGCCTTAAACTTGAAAAATATCTAAACAAGAAGCACAAGTTTGACTAGACATATTTAGCTTTCTGTACCTGTAAATGGTTGAGATGGGAAGGTGTAGTTGTTATGTTGATCTTCCTTGATCGAAGGCCAAATTGTAAAAATTTTGTAAATCAGCATCCCAGATTGAAGAGGGCGTAGCTGCAATGTCAGTAATATTATATCTATGTGAGTAAGACAGCTAAGAATGTAATACAAACTGTAGAAAGGATAATTCTACATGAAGCAAGATGAATCAAGAAAGTTTCCGGGGAGCACTGATGGTTCTCCGTAGCCCCATATCAGAAGGATTGATTCCATTTCCAATCCAGAACATGAAACTACTTGTTGTTGTTGTCAGGATTAAACTGAAGATAAGCAGGATTATTCTATCTGATGACATTCCAATTGGTGGAAAATTGGGGGGACAAGCAGGAAACACCTATCAAGTCAGCCAGTAACAATTAGACAGCATTAAAGTCAACAATCAAAGTCTGCTTAATTTAGACAATGTTGCACCTCTTTGGCAAAGAAGTTGTCAATGTTGAAGTCAAGCCTGGGATTGACAGCAGCTAGTTTCATTGATAGGAACTGTTCATTGTGATGATCACAAAGGAGAAGATCCAGTAATTAAACAATATGAAGAACTAACTCCTGAAACTGATAAACCATGTTAAATTATTACCTCTACTTGTCGTTGAAGAGATTGAACATAGTTGATGATTTCGTCAAGCATTCCAGCTTTTCCAGTGATCTTGTTGCACCCCGGTACTAAATCTTGCAAATACTTCATTCTCTCACTGATTTTTTCCCTTCTAACCTGCATAATTACAGTATAATCTGATTAAACTTTTGTTCATAACATCTACTGATAAAAAAAGCCAGAAATTACTGAAACTGCAACTCACTCTTTCAGCTAAGCTATGACTATCAGTGGCTTGACCGCGGCGTGCTCGGACATGGATGTAATCAGGTTTTTGAACCTCAGAAACTTTTGAATTCTCTTTAGAAGTATCACCAGATGTTTCTCTGTTGTTATTGCTGTTGCTTTTGTTGTTTTTGTTGTTTTGTTCTGTGATCTTTGAATCTCCCTCTTCAGCACATCCTTTCATCCTTTTGTCTTTGGCCTCATCTTCTGCTCCAACCTACACATACCCAAAACAGAACTTTCATTAATGATCTTATGCATCATTTAAGAACAAACTTTGGCTTAAAAATTAGAACTTTTTTAACACAAATTTCTTTTGGACAATGATCAAACACACACCTTAGTGTTATGGACCTTATCGGCTTTCCTCTTCTTGAAGCTTTCTCTTCCAATTGCTGCACTCATCTTATGATTCACAATACTTGACTCCTTAACCTTAGCCTCGGCGGCCACCGCCGGCGGGCAGCTAGTGGTTCTTGAAATGGCATAATTGGCATCAAAAGCTGGCCCACAAGGCCCAAAACCATAACCAGGCACCACAACCTTCCCCAAGTCTGGCCACCCATTTTCCAATGCCGGGTCAGGCTTCACCGGCCCCAACACCAAGTCACCACCACCACCCAACAAACCACCTTCAAAACTCTGCACATGACTCACCTGACTCGGCACAGAAAACACACCACTCAACTCACTAAAATAACTCTCCTGCTGCTGCTGCTGCTGTTGAACTACATGAAACTGCTCCTGCTGCCACTTCATACGAGCACGTTGCCTCTCCAGCACCGTCAGGTCCGTACAGTGCAACATCTCACCCGCCGGCACCACTCCTCTATTCATCACTTCACACGAAACTAACTAGCTATGAAGTGAGACTGAACTCGAAAACAGACTTGAACCAAAACAAAGTAGCAAAGCGCAGTACTAGTAGTGGTTGAGACTGTTAAAGAGTTAGGCAGGTGGGTTTCATAAGCAGTCTGGTGAACACGATTTCGTAGTGAAGAGATGGTACAATTTGGATACGTGGGGCGTTTGGTGTTAAAAGTTCCGAGTTGGGAAAATATACACGTATATATGTATATAAAGAGAAAAAAGAAAAAGTGGCCGGAAAATGAGACAAGTTATCGGAATTATTAAGAGTGAGTTTGAACATGAACTCTATATTTATATATAAATAAACAGAGAGAGAGAGAGGGGTATTGGGGCAGGGAGCCACGGAATGTAGCCATAACCAGAGGCCGTGGGTGATGGGACCCACTGACATGACTGCCACGTGGGATTGTCTGAAGTTTGGATCAGAAAAGTGGGGTTCTCTCTTCGGATTGACCAAGGTTAACATTCAACCCGTAAAATTTATACTGTAAATTTATCCAAATTTACATAATCTAATTAAGATTCATGATTCCCGAAACTGAGAGCAGATTTTTTTCTGAGAATTAAAAAACAAAGTGTTGAATTTGCATAGGAACTCACAAATACCAAATACAAAAAAATAATAATAATAATAATAATAATAAAGAAGATCATCCCTTTCATTACTGCGAGTCTGCGAGCCTGCGACTGTGGGATTCTGGGCCGAGAAGGAGGGCGGGAAACCAGGCCACCTCTGTTACTTCGTCACCCACATGGGATCTTCCACGTGGAACTTTCTCGTGCTTTTGATCTGATAAATCAGACTGATTACGTGGCACATGACACTTCCCCCCGAACGGGTCTAATTTGTGTGATTGGCAGTTTAGTACCTGGCCCTGCGGGACGTTGTAAGAGATTAGCAGTTGAAAAGTTCTTTACGGAAATCTACTGTTATCGAGTGGAAGGCACCGAAGTTTTCTATTGGTTAGGTGATTGTCACGCGCATTGAGGAGGAGGTGGAGAACAATCATATGATTGCTGGAGATTCTGCGGGTATTACGGGGTTGTCAGGGCCTTCTAAAAATAGATATTGGCTCTTGTTTTTAAAAATAAAATTATTTTATTTATATTCCTGTATATAATTAGTAATTGTTTTCTAACTAACTTTCTAATTCTATCTTTAATTTATTTATTTCATTTTATGGAATATTAAATTAAACACGAGATTTTAAAATTCAATTCAATTCACTTGGAACTCGGTTAGGTTGAATTTATTCATATTTTTTATTTATAAATCTAGATATAATTATATAAAATTATAAACCCACCATCAATCCCCAAATTGGATTGACAAATTGGATTTTTGAAAAAAAAAATTGGGAAATGAGATTAAAAGTTTTGATTTTGAATTGTAAAAAAAAAAAAATGATTTTTTTTTTTTTTAGTGATCATGGGTGATCGAATCAGTTTATACACACCTCAATTAATCCCTTAAAACCCTAAAGTGAACAATCTGGTAAATCTCTTCAATGATCACCCCTATTAATGTCTGTAGAGACTCGAACTCGGAAACTCATATTGGATTCTTTTTCGCTTTTACCATTAGAGCACTCAATGGTAGTTAAAAATTCAATTATTCGTTGATTATCATTTCTTACTATTTGCATTTGAAAAATGAAAACATAAAAGACAATTATATTTTAACCAAGGTGTCTGGGCCAACTTAAGCACACCTCGACTAATATTCAGGAGAGATTAGTGTAACAACCCATTACCACAACGACTCATTTAAATTATAGATACTCATATGAGGAATTTAACCTGATGAGACAGTGTACGTATCCACACTACCCACGAAAAAAGAAAGTAGTACACAATTTAATTACTAGATAAACAAAATAAGAAAGGGTACAAACAAACCAATCAAATCTAATTCTACAAATAGATTTGAAAGCATGGTAGACTCCATATTAGGAAGTTTCATATCATAGTTTGTCAGTTAATGGGGATTAGGAGTCTATTTCATTAACTTATGTGTATTAATTTGGAATGGTGCTAAATTTTTTGGTTTCAATATAGGATTACGCCCATGAAAGGGATGGATGGAATTGGAATATGAAAAACACTTATATATATTATTTGTCAACAACTCCGTTGAAGAGACATAACCAAAGTTATAGGGAATTGACAGAAATTTCCACTACCAATAGCCAAACCAAGATATTATAGGGGTTTTGTTATTTGTCACCTCAAGTTTAATGAGGTTTCAATGTCCTTAAAAACCAATCGTTATCATAAAATAGATGTTTAGTGATAGATTATGAGACAAGTAAACCAAAAGATATTGTCATGAAAAGACATCAAACTTCATGTTTAGGCACTAAATTAATGTCACCATCACATAGTTAAGAAACTTTTCTCCAATAATTAATATTTCACTAAACTTTATAGCTAGATCATCCAATAATTGGCTCGTTGGCAAAAGATCATCCAACTAGCTTACTGTTCCAACTAGTTTACGCGTACTCGACTAATTTTGGAAGAGACTAGCGTAGCAATCCATCGTCACAATTCCTCACTCATATCGCAAAAGCTCAGATGGGGAATCAAACCTTAGACTGTACACCTATCCACACAATCCTCGATTTACCCTAACTATTTAGACTACCCATAGATGGGTATAGTATCTCTATTACAGTGGATATTTCATAATATTAGAGAGTTTTTGATAATTTAGAATAGATTTTTAATAATTAAAAAAAAAAAAAAAAAACAAACAAACGTTTAATAGTAATCGATATCATTAGAGATAAATCAAATAAACCCTAATAATGGAATCCCACTTGTAGATTAACATTATCGAGTCTAAATCAGGCTTTTAACTTGCATATTTATGAACCCTTTTGAATCTTGGAGGCAATATATATTGGAAGGTAAGAAGTAGGGGATATAATTTGGATTGATTGTGGGAACAATNCAAAAGCTCAGATGGGGAATCAAACCTTAGACTGTACACCTATCCACACAATCCTCGATTTACCCTAACTATTTAGATTACCCATAGATGGGTATAGTATCTCTATTACAGTGGATATTTCATAATATTAGAGAGTTTTTGATAATTTAGAATAGATTTTTAATAATTAAAAAAAAAAAAAAAAACAAACAAACGTTTAATAGTAATCGATATCATTAGAGATAAATCAAATAAACCCTGATAATGGAATCCCACTTGTAGATTAACATTATCGAGTCTAAATCAGGCTTTTAACTTGCATATTTATTAACCCTATTGAATCTTAGAGGCAATATATATTGGAAGGTAAGAAGTAGGGGATATAATTTGGATTGATTGTGGGAACAATTCCAGAGAGGATGAAGGCTACATCCATTATCATCATCTGGGGTCCTCTCTCTCTCTCTCTCTCTCTCTCTCTCTCTCTCTCTCTCCATCTTCTTCAGTTCTTCTACTTTAATATTATTAGTATGTCTCTCTTTCTTTCTTTCTCTTTCTCTAGTTGCAATACAATCACACATGACCTTGTACCACAACTAAAGGCAAAATGGGGCCTGGTTTTTCTCTACCCCTCTTTCTTCTATCACTTTCTATTGTGGTCTTCATGAACAGAAAACCACCCAGTTGTCCCTCATTGTTTTGTGCATTTCATTTTCATCATCACTCTCCAATGCTTTATTCTTCCCATCTTTTATATTGGATTTTTAACTAATACTTCCCCCAAGTACGTACAGTGCTTCGTCCCTAATGCTTTCCTTTTAGATATTGTTTTATCACATTTTCTTTCTCCAGGCACCAATTGTTTTAAAAGCCAATTATTCAAGTGGGATAATCAACTAGTTGAAATTTATGAATTTTTGGAAGCACCAAAAACACTTCCTATATTTATTATTATTTTTTGTTATGAATTATTATTCCAATGTGGTCCATTGAAATCTATGGTGACCAAACTTTAGATCCCTTGTGGGGGATACCCATCCATCAAAATATATGTGACCTTTCGAGATGTGAATGTGCAAAATTTTCCATGCATATGATTAGTTTAATAATCGATATCCTAGAAATACAAAATTAAGTATTTGGAAAAATAAAATAATGAAATTGAATTGATATGATCTTATCTTTGATGGATAAATAATAGAGGGGAGAGATGGGATGAGGAGGCAATGAGAGATCGCAGCAGATACGATGTAAATGGAATCCTAGTTCTAGCAGGCCCTTCAAATTATTATTAATAATAATAATAATTAAACAAGCTTATTTTAAAGAGTCGAAGAATGCGAGATAGAGATAGAGAGACATGAATGAATTATAGTGTTGAGTATTTGGTAACTCTTCTGTCTCTTGCTCCATCCTTTATAGCTACCTAGCTTTTCATATACAGACGAATTCTATGGGCTACCAGCTTCTCTACTTTAATCCACCATTTCCCACAGTTTTCTTTTTTTTATTTCATATAATAATGTTCGGTTGATCAATCAATGAAGTTCGATCAAGTTTCTAATTAAAGGTCTAAGTCCAATCAAGTTCATTAATGTTGGTCCAAGTTAAGGTAAATCCAATCAGCTAGGAAGCTGACAAACTGATTCCTACACACCAAAAAATCTGGAGGGAGATGCTTTCAAAAATACAAAATTATGGCGACAATGAAATGATCTAGAGAGTATTTGGAACACGTGTGTTTTATTCTTATTCACCCAAAATTTGTTACTTTCAACATAGTTAATATTATTACAATATTTTGTCATCTCTCTCGATACAATGAATACATTTACTATGAATTGCTATCACACTCATGCAAGAAAATAATGCACCTCTATACTAGGATTATTAGGAGAAACCCTAAGTAATAGGATTTTTATTCCTAAAACATACCCTATTAGGAGTTTTATTTCTTAGACCCCGTGTGTGTCGCCCCTTATAGACGAACCCCTTATTGTTGAATTGGTTGTCAATTCTAATTCCTTTACCAAGTGAATTAATCCTAAGTGGAATGGGTTGTTAAGTTGATTTTAATGTTCATTCTTCATCATTGCAAAACAACCAACCATGAAACAAAATAAAAAACACCAAATTTTTACATGGTTTGGCAACATGCCTACATCTATGGGATCAAGTTCAGATGAAGTCAATCCACTATGGTATACATTTATAATTCAATTACAAAGTTAAAATTAAGCATCAATTGCAAGAACATTCTCTGTTTTGCAACGCTTCAAACTCCATTCTTTGGTCGAACTTCGAACTACTACAGCAAGCTCCACGTTCACAAGACCACATGG